AGAAGGAGGGAGAGAGGAGGGGGAGGGAAATGGGGGGAAACTGAGCTTATAAATAAATGCTGGGAAACCGAGAGTTTTCAGATCAGCTTCCTGCAGAGTTGTGTCCTGTCGTCTTTGCATCACGTGCACCCCTGCACCCCACACCCCGAGTGACCCCACACAACCTGTTGGGGGGGCATGTTTGCATTGCCAGCCAGGCCCAGCCAGCACTGCAGCAGAACCATAGCGATCTGCCCCCCTACAACCTGTGCCAAGGTGCCCAAACCCCCAAAACCAACAGAACTTGGTTCAAACCAGAGAATCTCTGCAGCAGCTGCATAGACTGAGGGAGCATGTTTGTGCATTGCCAATGCCAGCCAGGACCAGGAGCAGAACCAGAGCAATCCCCCCCCCCAACAACCTGTGCCAAGGTGCCAGCTGCCAGTCAGTGACCAAAAACCAACAGAACTTGGTTCTAACCAGAGAATCTCTGCAGACTGCAGCAGCAGCCTACAGACTGAGGGAGCATGTTTGTGCATTGCCAATGCCAGCCAGGCCCAGCAGCAGAACCGGTCCAGAGCAATCTCTCCCCCCCACAACCTGTGCCAAGGTGCCAGGCAGTGCCCAAAACCCCCCAAAACCAACAGAACCAGACAATCTTTCCCTCTGCAGCAGCAGCGGCCTAGGGAGCATGTTTGCATTGCCATCCATGCCCACTAGCAGCAGAAGAACCAGAGCAATTCCCCCCCACAACAACCTCTGTGCCAATGTGCCAGGCAGTGCCCAAAAAATCCCAAAACCAACAGAACCAGACAATCTTTCCCTCTGCAGCAGCAGCGGCCTAGGGAGCATGTTTGCATTGCCATCCATGCCCACTAGCAGCAGAAGAACCAGAGCAATTCCCCCTCACAACAACCTCTGTGCCAATGTGCCAGGCAGTGCCCAAAACCCCCCAAAACCAACAGAACCAGACAATCTTTCCCTCTGCAGCAGCAGCGGCCTAGGGAGCATGTTTGCATTGCCATCCATGCCCACTAGCAGCAGAAGAACCAGAGCAATTCCCCCTCACAACAACCTCTGTGCCAATGTGCCAGGCAGTGCCCAAAAAATCCCAAAACCAACAGAACCAGACAATCTTTCCCTCTGCAGCAGCAGCGGCCTAGGGAGCATGTTTGCATTGCCATCCATGCCCACTAGCAGCAGAAGAACCAGAGCAATTCCCCCTCACAACAACCTCTGTGCCAATGTGCCAGGCAGTGCCCAAAAAATCCCAAAACCAACAGAACCAGACAATCTTTCCCTCTGCAGCAGCAGCGGCCTAGGGAGCATGTTTGCATTGCCATCCATGCCCACTAGCAGCAGAAGAACCAGAGCAATCCCCCCCCCACAACAACCTCTGTGCCAGTCACTGCCCAAACCCAACTGGACTCAGGTCAAACCAGAGGATTTCTGCAGTATATAAACTGAAGGGGGGGCAGGCAGGACCTGTGCAAGTGAGCAATCAGCTAGGGGTGTGCGATTCCCCACTCAGCACATTAAGAGGCAAAGGGAGGCCAGAGGAACCCAAATGGGCGCAAATCAGAGTGGTTGCCAACTCCCCCTCCCTCCCCAAATAAAACCCAGAAAGAGGCCTGACCTACCCACACCAACCCAAGGCCCCAACCACTAAAACAAAGATGATTTTTTAAAGAAGTGCCCTAATATTTTTCAAACCAGGCCAGGAAAAGGGGTTCAGGAGCAGCAGCACTGCAGCAGGGGCAGCAGAAATTGGCAACTGGTACAAGGCTAGCCAATCCCTCTCGTCACCAACAGTCAGCAGCAGGCCAGGAACCAGGAACAGCAATGGAGTCAGCCAGGGAGACTTGCTCCTTTTATGCTCTCTGGCCATACACAGAAGATTTCAAAAAGGAACACCTTCTGTGATTGGCCAGAGAGTAGATGCCAAAACCCTATTGGCCACTAGTGCTCCTTCCCTGGGGAAAGAGCAAGCTAGTGGCAGCAACAACAGCCCTGCAAAAAAGTTCCAAAGTTTTGCAAATTGCAATGCATTTGCAGATGCATTGCAGTGATTGGCTGTCTAGTTCCCTCTCCCCCCCCTGAAAACAGGAGCAAAAGGCGGGAAAGAGGGGAAAACGGCAGGAAAACTGGATTTCTCTGCCGCCCTTTAAAGTTTTAAGCCGCCAAATGCCGAAAAAACCCCTGATTTTTTCCGGGGGGTTTTCCGGATATCCGAAAAGGCTTGAAACGTCCATTTCGGCATCCCCAAAGCCGAAAAAAACCCCAAAAGGGTTTTCCCGGGATTTTTTTCGGTTCGGGATTCCAAAATGCACACCCCTACCCGGGATTAATCTTTGTTGGTCTTAAAGGTGCCACTGAACTCAAACTTTGTTCAGAGGAACAGATTGTCCACTAATCTAAGCAGCTCAAAACTTTCCCAGAGGGAGTTAAGCCATAAAAATATTGGCACTTCCCTGAACTTTAGCAAGAGATAACAGTCCATAGTTTGAAAGAAATGTTCTGTATGATTTTGATAGCATTTCCTATATAGTTTTGCTGAATTTACTCTGCACAACTCTGAGGTTGCCTTTATGGAACAATTTTACATATCCTCTTGCACGCTGTTAAACTGGGTGAAACACAACATGTTGAATGTTCAAGAAGTCTGGAGCAAGAGTAAGAAAGAGCCATAATAGATATAAGCATTAACAAGGCTGCTTCTTTTTTAGTCAAGGCACTATGAACATGCTGTTTACCAGCACAAGTCTGCAGCTGGGAGCAGGCGCTTCAGTCAAGTCTGCATAATTACATGCCCAAGGCAGATGCCTATTTTCCCCTTTTCTTTTAAAACGTATTACTCTGCTAATAATAAAATATAATTAGAAAGCAAGTTGCACTTTACTATTAACAGGGAGAACAAAACAAGCTTTAGGTTTCCAGATGCCTTAAAAATGTCCACTTTCTCCAGAAGGTGAATTTTGGCTTGGCCTTAACAACTGCCATGGTTTTCAAGGCACAATTCTTAGATTTAAGTTTTCAGTAACTGCAGGCCCTTAGCCACAGGGGGGCCCCATGGGGGCAGCGCTCCCTCCCAAATTTGCTCAGCCCCAGGGGTCATTTTGTAGAAAAAGAGGTGCAGGAGCTTATTAGCATAGCTTATTTGCATATGTCACTTCCCCTGACATCACCGGAAGTGTGTCAGAAGGCAACACCCACCGCTCAGGCTCCACTGGACTGTTTTGGATTGCTAGCTGGGGGGGGGGGGAAGCACACAGATCTGCTCCCACAGAGGAGGGAGAGCTTGTATCTGAATAAACCGTGGCGTTAAAGGTGCCACTGGACTGTTTTGGACTGCTGGGGGGGGGCTCTGCAACTTACCTGGTTGCTTCTTGCTCCTTGTGGCCAGGGGCTGCTGGGAGCAGGGGGCGGGGCTTGTTGCACGTGCCCGCCCCCTAGGCTCTTTACTGCCGGAGCTGCGCTCCTGCAGGAAATGACCCCTGCCCAGCCCCCTCCCTGGGAGGTGGAGGTAGCCTGGGGCTGCTGGTCGGGAGGAAAGCAGTGGAGTGAGCAAGAGCAGGCAGGGAAGGAGTGTGTGCCTGGCACTCGCACAGCTGGCTCCAACCCCAGCCCTGTGCAAGGACAGTCTACCTCTAAATGCCAAAGCTGGGAAGACAAGCCATGGGGCTTTGTGCGCTGCCCTGTGGCAATCGGAGGAGAGCCCTCAAGCCCCCTATATCTCCAATGCAGCCAGCATCCCCTGGCCTCCCTCCCTCCGCCCATTTCTAGCTGCCCAGCTCTCCCTTCCCTTTGTAGGCTGGTATTGGGAGGTCACATGAGCCCACTCAGCTCCCTCGCTGCTCTTGGCCAGCAGCTTCTGTTGATGCTCTCCCACTTGGAATCTGTGACTTCTCCCTGACTGTCCCCACCTGGTACACTGGCACCTGGGCAGGGGGGGCATGCTAGTGCATCTGCAGTCTCCTCCTCCATGTGGTTCCTTGCTCCTCCCTCACCCTTTTCCCATTTACTGGACCTCCAGCATAGATTACAGACCAGTGGGGAAAGCCATGGGCACTGATGCCCTTGCACAGGCTCAGTACCCAGGAGCTGAGCTACTGCTGTCGCTTTGGAGGGCATTGTCGGTGATATTGTACATAATCTTGTCCCTTCTCCACCCTTTTTGATGAATTGAGGATTTCTGAGCTGCCCCCTCCTCCCCCATGGAAAAATTCTGGCTATGGGGATGAATAACTGTACTGACTTTAGTATTCACTGAAACATCACTTTTTTCTTCCTTGCCAAAGCTTTTTGACACAACATTCACAACAAACTTAAGTTATTCGTAAAAACGTATAGGTGATTTAAAGTAAGTATAGTTGGGCATTATATTATTATTTATTCAATTTATCAATCGTCCTATCCCAGTTTATGCCAGGCTCTGGGTGATTTAAATCCTACAAAATTCTGAGGTTGTATTATGCTCAGGGAACCCTATTCCTACCTTAAGAGCATGGTCAAGTAAACGCATGAAGAATGACTTTCTCCCTGTACATTTTGCATCAGTAAATAGTTCTGCCTGAAAACAAGCACACACAACCAGGTCAATTTAAAAAAATATTTAATGCTGCCAGAAATATAAAAAATACAGTAAGAACGGCAGTACAAAGTATCTTCTAATGTGATCTCTTACATCTCTACAATTAATACAAGCATAAAACAATTAAGACAAATTTTTTTTGTTTTGCAACATCTCTTGCTGGTGGTATACATCATTCCCTGGTTGGTGTTTACGTTGTAAACAGATACTTGTGAGGCCACCTGGGTATTGCTCAGACCTCACTTTTGTTCTTGGCGAGGGGTCATGTCCTGCTTTGCATGCCAATAGAATGCAATTTATAGCTGCAGAATATTCACAAGTCTTGGAGAGTTAGGTGTCCGTCATTCTCTGCCTACAGACACACAACGCAAAAAAGTCACAGGTTCAGTACAGTCAGAAGTATACACACTCAGGTTTTACAGTTTCACTTGGATTGAAGATTTAGTAAGGGGGATTTTTTTTTTTGGTCAAATGAAGGACATATCCCGAATAAGCAGTTACTAGCGGACACTGTGTGTGCATGCACACCTCCTTGACAGATACAAATGCCCTTAAACATATAGTTAAGGAAGGTGCTAGGACATCAGCATTCTCACTGATGTCTTGTTCTTGACTGAATCAAGGATCAATAGAACACTTAGATGACACCTTCTCTGCTATTATCACAAACCCAAAATGTAGGAATTATGTTTCTCTGCTTGTACAACAAAACTGTAAATCATAGTTTAGTGTGTGTGTGTGTGGGGGGGAATTGTGTAATGGATGACACAATTTGCATTTCATACTACTTGCATGAGTGGACCAAAGCACAGGACCCAACCCAGAGTATCAAAAGAAACAAGGAACAATTACAGTGACGTTTGATCATATATACAAGTAGATGTTTAAAGCTTTAATATTTTGGTAATCCATGAGGAAGCAATTAATGTATTTTGAGTAAATTTCACCAAAAAGAACAAATCTTCAATTGTTCTATTAAACTACTAAATTTTGTTAGTCTAAAAAGGCCAGACACTTAACCCAACACCTGGGGATATTTATTATCAGTTTCCCCAGAGCTCTCAACCCTATCTTAGGAAGCCAGACAGGCAAACTACAAGGGTTGGTTATATCAACATACTGCAGGTTGCTTATTCTCTGCAGATTCTAGGGATTAGAAATGGCAGCAAAGGCAACTTTTAGAGGATTACTAACATGAAGGCTTCATCAACTATATATTTTATTTATACCCAAAGCAGCTTATATCATACTCCTCTCCACCAATTCATCTTTACAATAACCCTGTGAGGTAGGTTAGGCTGTGTGGCTAGCCCAAGGTCACCTAGCCAGATTCCGTGGCAGATCAGGGACTCAAACCCAGGTCTTCCAGATCCTAGTCTGATGCTAACCACAGACCACACTAGCTCTATCGAGGGAGCAGGGCCATGAAACAAGTAAGAACCACCTAAAGAGATGCAAATCCACCAAACTTGGTGACCATGTGAACCAACATTTCTAGCTTTGCAATCATCACTGCACTCCAATGGGAAATCAAACAACCCTGCCCCAATATCCTAGCCAGCACACATAGTACTTTGTAACATGCTTCTAATGCAGCAATCTAAACATGCAAGTTAACTACAAATTGACCTGTGCAACACTGGGTCTCAAGGCTCCACTTTTCAAAGAAATTGATTTTGTTTCATGAATATTATAAGTTACATTAATCTACATGCACTCATTAATGAAAACTGCATAGCAACTACTTTTTGGAAGGTTCATTCAAATTTGGTAGTAATCTAGTCACAGCATTTCTCTGAACTTCCATCTGTGAACCTGATTTATGCTTTTCATTTGAATGTAATAAATAAGATTGGGCAAGGGAGCAAATAGGCATTATTCCTATCTGCAAGTGCAAGAAATGTGTTACTTAAGCTTGACAGGGCTAGCAAAACCTATCAGGATGCCTTGTCAACCGACACTGGTAGATGAGGGCACTCAAGATCTCAAACCCAATTAAAGAAAGGTTCAGACCTAAAAGCCTTGATCATCTCATCCAGAGAAGACAGCTTGGAGCCTAACCTTTCCGCCACTTACACAAAGGGGTGGGGTGGGGGAGATGTCAGTGATTTTTTGCCACTTCGCCTTCACTGCAGCCCTCCCACTTCAACGCCTTCAACTTCAACCACTTCAACTCCCACTTCAATCCCACTGCAGCCCTCCCACTTCAACTTCTTGGGGTCCATAATTTCAGGAGACTTAAGATGACTGCAGTGAGAAGGGAGAAACTGCCACTTATATTGCACAGCTCCACTCATCCTGCATGCGATCCAAACCTAAATAAAACTTTAATTTTCTACTGTGATTCGATTTCTATGATACAGAAATTCTGACCAGTCTTTATTAAGCAGCACTATTTTTATTAAACATTTGTTTCTCGCATTTGAGCACACATCCAAAGTGAGTTGTATTGATCCAAAAGGTGACTCTTTCACGCTCAAAGAATGCTTAATATCTTTAGAAAAAGATGAAAAGGAAAAAATCAGTGCATCCTTCTCTTTATTGTCAATGACTTTAAACAAGCAAGCAAATTCAAAAGAAGCATCTGTGCTGAACACAGGGGCTCCGTCTGTACAGATATTTCCACAGAAGAAAATGTCTTCACTAAATCTCAGCAACAGAAAAGCCAGAATGCAGAGGAAGGTAGTCAAACCAAGAAAGAGATGAAGACTGCACTTCAGCAAAATGTTAATCACTTTCAACTGGAATCATTTTATTTATGAAGTACAGGCTATAAGACACTTAATTTCCACTCTGATACACTCCCAATAATTTGGTGCTGCCCAATTTTACTAGGAGTGGAAAATGTAAGACATTTAGAACACCTACCCCATTTGTTTGTCCTCAAAATAAAAGGTGTTTAAATCTTATAGCCCCTTAAGTTCCGACACTGAGACGGTCTGATCACTAACCACAACCAACTACCTACCCCCAAAATAAAGGGCAGAATAACATCAACATTTCTTTACAATTTGTGTTCTGAATTCCTGAAAGTAGTGTGGAATGTTACTTGTATATAGACCAGCTGTGATGTACAGAAGAGTACAGCTTTGGGCCTGTGACAGTACCCCAATGGCTCTGGCGATGCTGTTTTGCCAGGTGGACGTTAGCTGAAGGATCTACTTCTGCCAGCAGAATATCCACAGAATAATTTTAGTTCTAGCTGATGAAGTTCTCGTGGGGTTAAATCCAAAGGACCACTCACCAAATGGTCTTTCCCTGTCTCCCTGGTCCAGCCCATTGTGGTCATCAAAATGCTGCTTCTTGGGTTGGGGAATTCTCAGGAACAGCATTCTGTGCAATATGGGTACTTACACTGGGAAGGGGGCATTGGCCAAAATCATTCCCCCTCAGCTAGTGGAAGTCCTCTTTGGATTTCACAGGTTGCAAACAATGTCATGGTTTAACCAACAGTGGACCTACTATTATTCCCAAATAGGGCAGTGACCAGGAGTGGGGGTGGGGGAGAAGAGGGTGAGAAATTGTCTTCAGTTGTCTTTCAAACTCAATTTCTTCTTTTCTTTTTAAAAAATCCAGTATTGTAGCTGTGTGCTTTTTTGATGTGGCTTTCAGAAATATGAACAAATTTGTCATGTGCTGCCTAAATCCACTATGAAGCATACTTTCAATGTAGCAATGAATAGGACTCAAGTCAAATCAATGAGAGACACAAAAAAAGTTTTCACATTTAATGGAATGTTTGAACTTTGACATAAACTATTAGCTTCCAACAGCAGCTGACATTAACACAACTTCCCCTCAAAATAGTCAGTTTTGAGATTGGGGACCAAGCTCCCAGAAGTCTTATAAAAATGTAACATTTTCAAGTCTCTTGTTTTTAAATAAAGTAAATGTTAACTACAGGCATAAATACATGAATGCAACTTACAGAGTAGAAATTGAGAAGTAGCCCTATCCCCTGACATCAAATCTCAATGGGGCAATTTACTAATCATTACGTTAAGAATAGTGACATCTTGATGAAGGTCAGTGAATTTCTGAATCACTCCTGGAATTATGGAAATGGATGCACTGTTAACTGCTTTAATGCGTACTTTGTTTGGGTCAGTGAAATTTGTACAAACCTGGCTTTTAAAAATACAGTTATCTACAAAAAAGTATGATTAAATATAGAGTTATAAAATGTATTTATGCTAAGTCTGGATCGTATAAATGCTTAATAGCATATTAGATACATATCACTGTAACTGCTTTGCATTCATAGTATGACAACCACATCGTTTATTGCTTATATCAGATATGTGAGCTGGCAGAACACTGCAACTCCATGTGTACCCTAGACCTAGTGGAGAATCATTATAAGTAACATATACATACTTGCTGAAAATGCATTTTAGATTACCCAATAAAACTACAACTTTATTCCAGGTGGTAATTTGGTTTCAGAAGTACCTGCAATGAGAAGTCCTGAGACTGTGGTTTATGATCAGTTTAATCACAAGCCACACCTTACAACACTACTGCATTGATCTCAGATGTGGGAATTCTGATGCTGCAAGTCATATCCCCCCACTGGTGTATTAGCAGCACACTTGGTCTACAAACTATGGCTGCCATTCTGCAGCCAGTAAACATGTGTGGAACTTAAGTATATATCATGGAGCACAGGGTTACAACCTAAAGCACACGCTCACATAAGGGAAGCTTGGAAGAAAAATTTCCAGCAACAATAAACTCCAATGAAAATGGCTGAACCAAACCCAAGCTTAGTGAGAATAGGTTTCCAGTATAACCACCTTTTTCTTTTTCTTTCAGCTTCACTCAGCCTATGTTTCATCTGCTGCACCTTCTGTGCTGTGTTAGCTTTTCTGTCCTCTCTCAGCCGTTTCCGAACAGCACTACAAAAGCAAAAAAAAATAGTCAGTTTTATTTATACTTCTAATCCACCTTCATCTTACAGTTTCAGAACAGGCAGCAAAACTTTAAACTCAAAAATTAACTCGATTGATATTTATATTCAGTGAGTTGGAGCCAAAAGGTGCTCCTCAAGGTACATACCCTAGCAGAAAGGCACTTCTGTTAGCAGCAGGGGGAAGAGTTTTCCCAATTCCCCCCTTCCCCTGCAGACCCCCCCCATGTAGCCATACCCCTTGCTGTTTGCCAGGGTCTCCTGCTTTCTCCAGATCAGTTTCAGCAAGCTCATGGGCTGCAGCAGGAGGAAAGAGGTGGAAAAGTCCCATTTCATAAGCTTCACTCCCCTTGCATTGTTTTAGATCTAGCTCAGTGTGTTTCAAAGCAAGGTTGCATTATATCACCTTAATCCTGGCCACTAGGAGCTAGCCCAACCAACAAAGTCTCTCAACACTTCTGTAAGGTACTCAGACTTCAATCAGTCCCACAGTTTGGAGAAGGGGGATATCCATCAATAGCAGCTCTCTGCATATGGCATGCAGAGGGGAAAATTACAATCTTTTCTTAGTTATTATATGCATGCATTTTTAGAGGCAAAAAACAGTCGTCATTTATAAATGCAGGAATCCCTCAAAAACAAATGTGTACATGTGTTTTGTACTTTGTAATCAGGAACATAAAGCACCTAAGGTCCAAATGCAACATAGGTATATGAGCAGGTGAGGAGTCCAGAGCATTTGAGCCAAGTTTCTGAGATAACAATGAAACCATGGCATACCTTGAATAGTACCTGTGGAAAAAATGGAAGCCAATGTGGAAAGTATAAAGTGTTCCCAATGACTATGGCAGGTACTTTGCTGTGAAGAAAATTCTGTTTCTATACTGAAACTTATGGTAAATTATATTATGCAAATAATAAAAGGAAGCACCCTCTAAGTGTTTTAATTTTACACATCTGGAGTAACACCCATATTAAAAGAAGTAAAAAGAGAGCAGGTATGGTCAAATATCGTAACTCTGGTAGACTGTTCTGCATACAGCTATAAAGCAAGCAGATGCAAAGTTTTATGTTGTCATTTCTAATTTGTTTGAATGCTAATTCACACAGCTGGCAAGCAGAAATTTTGTACATGTTAAAGGCATGTTCACCTAATACCATGTATTACATGCCATGCCCACTTCCTGACGCTCTTGCACCCATTTTGGGCTGGGTGGGGAAGAGGATTGCAAGCACACAGACATATGTCCAATGTCACACTATGAGCACAGAGGGGGGAGTTGCACAAACTTGCTGCCCCATCACAAATTAAGAATTTCTGCAAGCTGGCTATATTGAACAGACTCTGAAAATCTGGATTTTAATATTTTGATGACTGCTAAAAGGGCAGCTGTTGGTAAGCAATGGCAAGGGTTACAGTCAGGAGGAAAATTATCTTCAAGTGTGAAGACTGGCCATGTGGTCACAAGGTTCAAAAAGTCTAACCCTTAAAGCCTGGAATCTGAAGTCCATTTCTGTATGAGAAAGTGCATGTATGCCACAAGGCACGACAAGCACACCTTTTTCTCTTCACAATCTGCCAACTGGCATTTCCTTCCATATAAATCATATGTGTATGATTCTGAAAATATGGGGTACATGCAACCTTATCAGTATTTTGCTTTCTTTAAAATACAGTTAAGCTGACATGGTTCAGAACTGGCTGTAAACTTGGATGTGAGCCATGACTATAAGTGGATTTGTACTAACAATGCTTTGACTAGACACCTCCAGCAAACAAAATATTGTTAAGGCAGTTTCCCCTCCTCTTGGCTTACAAGAAGACAGACAAGTCTCCAGCACTATGATTTGGAATGGCAAGCTACACAGTGGTTTCACTAGGCCATGGTTTCATCAGGATTAAAGGCCAACAAGCCACTGTTTTCTCAAACTATTGCTGAGCATTGTTTGCTCCAGACAGTAGAAGCACACATTTGTTTTGAGCGACACTTCTTATGTGATTTCAAACTTCTCTCTACAGCCCTAAAGGCTACAAAGCTGCTTTTCTTAAAAACTGAGAATCAAAATGTTGAGCTAGTTTCAGATCTGTCAAGTACCAAACTACAAGATCTGCTCTTCCAATATGCAAAAAGAGAGAGATGAAGCTTCCAGAAGTCTTCAAGAACAGCCCAAGAAAGTGCAAAATAGTAGTCAAATTCTCAAAGTTAAAAAAGAAAAAAGCATGACTGATTGTTTAGACCATGTAAAAAGAAGTACTAGCTTTCAGTCAGGTACAATGAATGAAAATGCCCACTAGCCAGTTTTCAAGCAATTAAACAGCAACAATGCTCACATGTCAGCATTTGCATCTGCAGTATTCTGAACTGTAGAAGTCAGCTCTGCATCAATGAGATCTTCAGTTTGTTCCTGATTTTCAAACCCCAGACTGTTCCCGTTGTATTTCTCCGCTGGAAGTTTGGCTGTGTATGGAGAAGAGTGTTCAGAACTTGGTGCTTGGTCCTCCTTTGAAAGTTCCTTCCATTGATTCTGAATAAAAATAATTTGTTTTACTGAAATTTTGAAAACCAGAATTTCCCCCCTCCCTTCATGGTGGCAAGTTGGGTAAGCTACAATAACTTAAAACTAATAATTAAAAGATTATGTTGCAACACATGGGGAAAAAATCTAGTTCGAAAAGTAATTTAGATAAGGTTTAGTTTTACAGACTAAAAATAAGGGGCTGGATCCAAAAGTGCCTATCATGTGAAAGGAGCCATTACACACTTTACTGCATGAGAAAGTTCAAACCACATCCAAAGATGATGATCTGCTTGTGCAAGCAGAGACACATGGATTCTGACAGAAGCCACTTGAGACAGCACTGCAAACTCTTCGAGTAGCATTTGTCACAAGCCTTTGTGGGACAGGGCAAGCAGCTCTCCTGTCCTCACCCCACCCCATCCTTTGGATCCAACATTCATGGAAACAGTTTTACTGCACAAAATCCATGCTTATGAAATCTGCCCTGCTTAGGCAAGTGTCAAAGAATCATACACCACTGTTTCATAACAAATAAACACTGCAGTTAACGTTAGAAACTCACTAAAATGCTACGAAAAAAATCAGTTGTAAGCATATTAAGTACAGTCGTTTTTGATCTCACCATTGTTCTCCAGCATACCTTCTCCAGAAGCTCCCCTACCCTGTTAAGCCTCTGCTGAGGGTCATGGGAACTCTCCTGAACCGTGTGCCATGCAGCATGTGGAGGGGAGGAACTGCAGCAAGGAGAGAAATTGCTCCCTTTCATTATTAAATGAGCTTTTTCTCTATTCAGAGTTTGCCAAAGAAAAAGGGAATTTCACTTGATTCCCCCTCATTGAAGTGCCCCCCCCCATACTGCACTGCATACTATTCAGGAAGCTTCTAGAAATCCTCAGCAGCAGCTTTAGCCAGGGATGGGGGCTTAGGGAAGGAGGAGATCCAAGTCCAAGAAACTCCTTTTTGCAGTATATCAGAGCTTGGATCTCTAATATGCTGAAGCAACCAAGTTTGAGACAGACTGTTTACCTTGAACCACTCAAAGAATAGTAGTTACAGGTGGTTATCTGCATTCACACTGATAAGCTCTGCAGTTTGGAAAATTCTAGAGCTAACCCTTATGTGCAAAATGCCCAAAGGGGAGGAATCATGCCTTCTTGCTCAGTTTCTTTCAGAAGGAAAGAATACCACAGCGAGTTAAAGTTACCTGTTTTGAAGAAGGCAGGCAGGTCATGTAAATGCACAGATAACCACTCAGAATAGTTTCAGATAAGCAATGTCTCTTTGCTTTTTTGCTTCTCTGTGCATCACACTAATGGGCATAGACCATCAAGCTGACCTACCTTTCAGAAGGAAATAGTTGAGCACTGTTCTGCTAAAGAATGCATTCACACTGGCTGTGACAGAGAATCTACTGCCTAATGCAGGGGGAAGACTAAGCTCAGGTAGCTGCTATGTAGGGCTCAAGAAGAAAATCCTTTTGCTGAAGAGGGAGGATGCTGCAACAGCTCTGGTGGAATAAACCCAAAGAATAAACCCAAGAAAAGGCTTGCAGGCCCATTCCCAACAGAGCTTAATAGTACCTGTGAGCCAGTGGCTGAATCATTGTGAGGACACCCGATAACTCTTCTTTGGGCCTAAATGCCACAGGAAGAGGTTAGTGGTTATCGGAAGGAAGCTGTTCTGTTCAGGTAGAACAACAGTGTTCTTCTAAAATCCAAACAATATAAAGCTCTGTCTGCTTCCGAGGTTGGAGTAGGAAGAAGGCAAGAAGAATCAAATCTTGACTGAGATGAAGGTAGAAAATTAACATCTGGGTGAAGAACCAGTTTGTCCTTGTACACACAGAAGTAAGTACAGTCGGAGTATAAAACACAACGTTAAAACGTCAGGGCAAGTAGTTGTAGATCATTATGTGACCCAGGGCTTGAACAGCTTGCCTGTCAGCTGAATTTGGACAAGCTGTAGCTCTCACAATGGCATGAGTGGCCTGACTGGAAAATGAAGCCAAACAAGGCCCTTGAAGAATTGCTTCAGTAAAGTCTTAGTGAAGATGTAGCAACTTTGTATGAGAAGAAGTAGAAATGGGAGCCAGGTGTATCCTAAGCAATGAGTGTCAAAATCCTGAAGTGAAAATGGAGTAAGTAAGTACTCTAAAATAATGTCAGAGAGCAGATGGTTGGGTCCCCTCCGGCTGAGTTAGTGTGAGCTAGCTCACAGTTTTTTAGCCTCTGGCTCACACATTGTTGTCTTAGCTCAGGAAGGAGGGCTCCAGAGCAAACTAATTTATGCAGCAGCCAAATTTCCTGCTCACAGCTTTAATGCCAGTCACTCACAAAGTAGAATTGTTGCTCACAGGATTCCATATCTTAGAGGGAACATTGGTCCCCTCCCTGTTCTGAAGTAAAGACAGTAAGCTGTTTCAATTCACACTCATGGGATCCTCTGATAGAAAGCTTAAAGGTACACAAAAAGCTTAAAGGTAAACAATAAAGGAGGACCTCTTTCAAGATTGGAGTGGGTACTTAATAGTACCTGTGGCGAAACGGGGACCCGCCCTCAGCCCTGGGAGACTGAGTAACCGTTCTGTGACTCGCAAGCCCGTTTTTGCCTTCCCACCCTACCTGGTGGGGCTATTTCCCTTCGTTACATGCTGCCACCACTCACTAAATTGACACTGCCTTCCTAGAGGGACAGTGAGACCCCTCTGGCTGATTCCCCAACCTTGGGAAGTTGGTAGCACAATCTTTGGGGGCCACCTGGAGAGTTGGCAACCATTCCAGTTTGGGCCCATTTGAGTTCCCTAGCCTCCCTTTGCCCCTGGTAACATGCTGAGTGGGGAGGACTAGGAAGTCAAGGCATACCAGGTCTTATTTAACTCAACAAGGTTTATTTTAACTAGAAAATAAACACAAGCACATTAACACAACCTGGGCAGAAAATATATACGATTTAAAATGCCATCCTTCTGTCTCCTACACACCCCTTCTCTATCTCCAGGGCAACAGGAGCCCCCACCTGTCCGCTCCCTCAAAGCTGTCCTCCGAACTGAGCTGAAGGGCAAACCAGGCTGAAAACTGACCCCCCCCCCCGAGCCAAAGCCTTTATCTGCCTGGCTCCGCCCCTGGGGTGTGTCCATATTTCCCCGCTCTTTTCCCTAATGCTTCTGGGAACTGTAGGCAGAGAGGTACGGCCGCTCCATTGTTCCCTATGGTGTACCTCTCCCCTCCTAAGGACTACCAGGCTGGCATCCATTTTAAAATACTCTGCTGCCTCTGCCTGGCAGCCATTTCTTCACAGTACCCACGAAACAACTAGGTTCAGGGTGTCTGGATGTCGATCGTGTTGTGCAGTTGGGACAGGTGACATTCCCCTTGGACATGTGAAGGAGCTTGGTTCACTGAGGTTGACACACCTGGTATGGGTGATAAGGATGTAGTCCCTTGCTATCTTTTCATTTATAAAAAGAACAGGAGGAAAGGCATAGGACAGGCATCCTGATCTATGGAGGAAGAAACCATTGCCTAGATAATGATGACCACCACTTGCTCTGGAGCATAACTATGGGCCCTTAGTGTTGACTGAAGTGGCAAATATCTACTTGTTGTTCACTCAGCACAGGAAGATTTGGATGCGGGAGAATAAACTGAAGCTTAATTCCAACAAAACGGAAGTGCTACTGGTGGGTGGAAGGTCTCAGCCAGGATTTAAGGTGTCACTTGTTCCCAATGTGGTTGCAGTTCCCTTGAAGGAAGATTTGTAGAGTCTGGGCGTGTTCTTGGACCCAGGCCTACTGTTGGATAAGCAGGTGGCTACTGTGGCTAGGAGTGCCTTTTACCAGCTTTGACTGCTTAGCCAGCAGTGGCCTTACCTAGGCAGAAATGATTTGGCCTAGATTAGATTGCTGCAATGTGGTCTATGCAGAGCTGCCCTCCAAAAGCACTCAAAAACTTCGATTAGTACAGAATGCTGCAATCAGGATACTGACTAGAGTGAGCTGTAGAGATCATATCACTCCAGTCTTGGCCCGTCAACACTGGCTCCCAGTCCGTTTCTAGGCACAATTCAAAGCACTGGTCTTGACCTTCAAAGCCCTATATGGTTTGCGATCAACATACCTGAAGGACCACCTATGAGGAACCCACCCAACCACTGTAGTCATCTCCCAAGGCCCTGCTTCAGATACCCCTAACTACTACTACTTTTAAGTTTTAATTTTATTAGAAGAATAAGACATATAAAAAACATTGAAACCACACACAAACATCATCAGAATACAACATAATGGGCAAAAAAGAAAAAATGGGGGGAAGGGGGACATAAAAGGCTTCTGGTTTTCTCTACAACAGAATTTTCCTTGCTTATATATAGAAACACAAACTCTCTTTTTAATTTCCCTTAAGAAATTTCTTATTCAGAAAAGCCACAAACCATTCTTATCTTTTTCATGGAGTCTCTAATAAGTAAAATAATTATCTTTTCCATAGCCACTATTATAAATTGAGCCGTATCTGCCAAGTCCAGCATCTTCCCCAGGCATTCTTCCATTACAGGTATTGTTGGACATTTCCATTTCTATTTGTATGTTGTTTTTGCTGCCATAGTTGAATATAGGAACAGAACTCCATAACATAAAAGACACTGGTTTCAGCTATATCTTAGTCTTTAGAATCTTCTGCAAATTCCATATCTTCCTTTTCCCTGTGTAAAAAAATGGCCAAAAGTAATGTAACCCTCTCTCTGATATCTTCATCAATTTCTTCTTGGATATATCTCAGCTTCAGAGAGTATTCCTTTTCTCTCAAGTCCATAGGATCTAAAAAAATCCAAGAGCCAGTTTGATGTAGTGGTTAGGGGTGTGGACTCCAATCTGCGAGAACTGGGTTTGATTCCCCATGCGTCCACATGCAGCTGCTGGTGTGACTTTGGGTGAGTTAGAGCTGTTCTCTCATGAGCAGTTCTCAAAAGAGCTCTCTCAGCCCCACCTACCTCACAGCACAGGGTGTCCT